TAATCACTCGCTAAATATAGTAGGAGTTACGTCAGCTACGCTAGATCCAATTGTTGTAACATGTTTTGGAATAATTGGAAACATATATGTCTTTTCGTCATGTTAAACATTACGATGGGAATTAAAAAATGCTTTAAAAAACTGTTAAACATCTGATACAAATTGAATCTGATACAAGATGGCGTCCCAGAACAAACGCGATTAGTGTTACTGTCGATGGGCTGGAAGAATTAGTAGAACCATTAAGAAAAATTAGCAGAGGAAAGTTCTACCACAATTGATACCAGAAGTGAAGCTACAATTTTATTATAAAATACCCTAAATTTTAATTTCATAACTTAAGCCCATTTCTGGCATGTATCTTGAGGAGAATTGATCGTGTGCAGCCCAGATTACACGATTCTAAAATGAATTTTTGCGAAACATTGCATGATTTTGAATCATGAACGACTGAATTTACAGAAATTCGATACGAGATCTGAGAAAAGGCAACAGAATGGTAAAATTCTGTAAAATATTTTAGAAATTCCAAAAATTGCATTTGGAAGATTAATTTTTGATTACTGAGTGTCGAAATTGTACGACGATTCGTTTGATGTTAAAAAGTAAATACCTTTAAAAATATATACATATATATAAATTGTTGAACAAATTCGGAAGATTAAATTTTGATTTATTTGATGGTGCAAAAATCGAAATTTTACAATGATTAGTTTAACTTTTAAGAAACAGAGCGATGTTTCGTAAATTACTATAAAAATTTTGAAGATTAGTTTTAAAACTTATTATTACGTAAAGATAGAAATCCTGCAGACGATTTGTTTGATCTTTAAACAAGAAATATTAGAAAAATGTAAAACCGAAAAAAAAAATCTTTTACTTAATTTTTTTAAAATCCCTGTGGAATATTGTGCTCACATCGCAAATAATTTATGTTAAAAATTTTTAAAATAGGGATTAATAAAAGGATTCAAAATTTAGATTTGATCCAAACGAATAAATAAAGAAACAGTATTGAAAAAAAACAGTATTGCTTAAAGAAATTCAGTAAGAAAAGTTGGAGAAATAACTTACCAAAAAATGCGAGCGGCTTCATTGTCAAGATATAAGGTGACTTTGGAAAAATGCAAAAGCTTTCCTATTCTAAAATAACATCAACCATTCACGTGTTCAGTAGTCCCAAAGTAATGTAAGGAGCTGTGAGTGCTATTTTGATAACGTAATGATGAATATACATAAATATGAATACGTGAGTATGGATACGTTAATATGAATCTGAAATACAAACTTATATAACATGGCGATGAAAGCTTTCTTTCTTGAAAACGAAAATTTAGAAGACTAATTTATGGCTTCTTATTATTCCTCTTGTTTCGCACCAAAATTATGAGTAATAAGAGGCAAATTCCATCTATTTTGAATACCTCTTTTATTTTATTTACCATTTTATACGTGTGTGTGTTAGTTGGACATTGTTACTTATTTGTACAAACACTTTAGGCTCCAAGGGAAGGATTTCCAAAATTTTTCTTGCATCGATTCCATTTAGATGAATGGTTTTCTTCATCGCTATCCTTGAATATTTTCTTTAATAGAATCCTTGAATTTTAAACATGGTATACAACATAATCATAATATCAGTAATTGCACTTAAATAACTGCAAACTATGATGTGCAAATAAAAAACAGCTGCCATCCCTGGCAGCTAAAACGGCCCTTTCCCTGTTAGGCATGAAGTGGAAATGGGCTTGGATGACAAAGGGCAACTCATTCCATGCTGCTTCAAGTCTATGCCACTCTTCATCAACCGTACTAGCTGGAGAGAGGTGGAGAGCCAGTCTCTCAACAACCCATGACCAGATATTTTCAATAGGTTACAGATCTGGAGACCGTGTGAGCCAGGGCAGCACTTGAATACCTAGTGTATCGAGGAAGGTCAGAATACGGCACGCGACATGTGGTGTTGCATTATCTTGTTGGAAGATCGCGTTTGGCAGGCCTCGAATATAGGGCACAACCCACTGGATGCAAGACATAAAATATGTACCGATCTGCGTTCAAATTACCAGCGATTCAAATTAGAGATATGCGTGTCGTGTACTCAATGGTTGCCCAAACCATCACACTAGGTGCAGGACCCCTATGCCGATATCGAATGCGACGTGCGGTCTCCTCGGAGCCTCCAGACACGTAGACGGCCATCAGAATACTACATGCAGAACCGGGACTCGTTTGAAAAGACGACATTGTGCCACTCCTGTGTCCAGCTTTGTCGTTCGGCGCACCAGAGTCGCCATCTCTCTCAGTGCTGCATTGTCAAGGGAAGCTGAGGTAATGTTCGCGATGCTGATAGTCCACGTTGCTTCCAACGTCGAGGCACAGTACGAACGGATACTGGGCGTGCTGCAAACATGCCCATTCCCTGACTAATGGTCCGCGATGTGATTGTATGGCTTTGCAGGGCTGTCCTCATAATAGGCCTGTTTTCACAGGCGTTAGTCATGGGAGGGCGTTGAGATCCTGCATGCTGTTCAGTATGATGACCCTCAGAAACCCATTGATTCCACATTCGCATGACAGTGGTTGGATGTCGACCAGGCAATATCACGGAACGATCTCGATAGGCAACGACCCTGCCTGTAAGGAATTCCAGAATTTGCTGGTAAACATTTCTTCTTATTATTCGAGGTATAACACGATATTCTGAGCAAATTCTGACCTCATAAAGCGCTTTCCGAATGAGAAATCCACTGCAAAAATTTTGTTTTATGTCGTTCCTCCCTCCTGTGTCGTCTAAATGCGCTGAAATATAATCATTTGCATATCGCAACCTCTTCTTTCTTTCATGTGATTTTGACATTTTTCAGATCATTTCTTCCTGGTACTGCAATTTTAATGGTCAGTAGTGTGCTTACATTATTTTTATAATTAATAAACAAAATAATTATGCATTGAAATACGTATATTTACACAAAATAAAGATCATACATGTAACTAAAAAATCAAAATTAAAAGTACGTACATAAAATAACACAAAGTTAAATAAAGTTATGCTTAATTGCTATTACGTACAGTGTCTCACAAAAGTGATGGGACACTTGTGCTTTACAAAAGGAAACTGTAATAAAATAAATTAAAAAAACATGTAAAAATTTTTTGTGGGTGTATTTCATAATTAAATTTAGTAACTATTATTACATGACATACATTTTCTCAAAGTATTAAAATATTAATTTAATAAAAATACAATTGTTTAGAACGGAGCAAAAATGGCTCACATAAGTAATGGGACACCGTTAGATACTACTACATACTAAAATAAAAATATTTTGGGTTTTTGTATTTTTACTCAAAAGCAATTGGCAATAATTTATAAAATCGTCTGCAGTATTTCTCTCCAGTTTGTTTTGGAATTTTTGTGTTTTTTTAGCTCTGTGCAGCCATGAATGCTACACGAAAAGAAACTTTGCCTGAAATTCGAAAATAAGTTATTAATTTGCCTATTGAACGTGGAAAACCTATTAGAGAAACTGCTGAAAGAGTTAACTTGAGTTATTCAACAGTTTTCAATATCATTAAATGATATAAAAAGAATCACATGATTCAGGATAAAAGGTCGACCATCAAAGCTATCCCATGGAATAAAGCGAATTATCGTTCGAAATATTTAAAAAAATCCAAGAATGAGTGCTCCTAAAGTTGCTGCTGATTTACAAGCATTATATGGAGTAATTGTTAATCCTGAGACTATTAGAAGAGTAATTTGATCTGCTGGATATCACGGTAGAGAAGTTAGCAAAAAATTCTTCGTAAGTGAAAAGAATGGAAAACTCAGACTGGCTTTCGCAAAATCCAGCATAAATAAGAATTCTGATTACTGGAATGAAATTATATTTGCTGATGAGAGTAAATTTAATATATTTGGTTCTGACGGTAGAATCTTGGGTGTGGAGAAAACCCAGGGAAGAATTTCGCAATCAGAACTTGGTGCCAACAGTAAAACATGGTGGAGGAGGTGTTATGGCATGGGAGTGTAGGTCGTCCGCTGGAGTTGGCAATCTTGTTTTTATTGACAGTATAATGAATCAGTACAAGTACACAGACATTTTAAATCAAAATTTGAAATCTTCAGGCACGAAAATTGAACCATTCATAACGATTTTAAATTCTACCAGGACAATGACCCCAAGCACACTGCTTTGAACGTTAGACTCTGGCTGCTGTATAACTGTCCTGGAAATAATAAAAACACCACCACAATCTCCAGACTTAAATCCCATAGAAAATATTTGGCAAAAATTGGAATCAAGAATTCGCAAACACACCGTTTCTTCTTCTTCAAAACAACAATTAAAATATGTGCTTTCAAGAAGAATGGGGTAAAATCACTCCAGAAATCAAACAAAAAATTAGTCGAATCCATCCCAAGAAGATTAAATCATGTTTTAAAAAGTAAAAGGAAATCCAACAAAATATTAAAACCTTTTAAAAAGAAGTAAAATTTTTTGATAAATATTTGATGGAAAAGTAAATGTCCCATCACTTATGTGAGCAATTTTTTGCTCCGTTCTAAACAATTGTATTTTTATTAAATTGATATTTTAATATTTTGAGAAAATGTATGCTATGTAATAATTGTTACTAAATTTAAGTATGAAACACACCCACAAAAATTTTTACATGTTTTTTTAATTTATTTTACTACAGTTTCCTTTTGTAAAGCACAAGTGTCCCATCACTTTTGTGAGACACTGGATATGAATATAATGAGCATTTGATTCTGTTACAATTCAGATAATTTATTGCAATCCAGAATGTAATCTGAATAATCTGCTTTTAAGCCGCTATTTGAATGTACTATATATCTGTAATATTGTTTATTTCAAATTTATCATATTTGAAAACAAACATAATGAATTTTTTTTCTCAAAAATTTGAGAATGAAAAATAAATTCAGCAGAAGCAGAGAACCATGTAGAAGCAAAACCAAAATTTCATACCGACATTTTTTCTCTAAAGTTGGAATGTAAACTAAACAGGCGATCGTTTGGCTAAAGAGAGTTCAAGGTTATCGAAACATAACTTTCCATGAACTTCTGCTCTGCTTGGCACTCAAGGTTAAAGAAAAACGTTCCACCAGCGTCAGTGTTGCTATAGGTGCAAAATATTTATTCTGTAAATTGACGCCTCCTGATGCATCCGATCACGGAACTGCTTCTAGTATGGAAAGGCGGGAGAAAAAAAGAGAAATATTATCCACGAAGCAACAAATCCTTTTTAGAACTTTAAAAAAGAAAAAAAGAAATTAAAGATAGCGGCGGAAATAGGGTCGTTTGCTTACTATCACCTTCGCTAAAAAAAAAAAAAAAAATTCTGCTATTGAAGCATAAAATTCTAATTTCTAATTAAATAAGTTCTAATTCGAAACTAACTGAAGAACTTCATCTGTCAATGATTCATTTATTCGCATTTTCACGATGCGAAGCGAAAAAGTGAAATGCTTGCAGGTTAGTGACCAAGAGTTTATTAAGCATGCAATGACGTGAAATGAATAATGATAAAAATAAGCTTTTATTTAAAGCTCATGAAATAGTTAATGCTTTAAAAAATTAAAATAAAATTTTACACCCAAAGAGGAGTTTTTTCAACGTTTTGTGTGTTCCCTTTATTTATTAAATATCATGTTCTTCGCATTTAAACCACATAAAATTCAATTCAACGACAATATAACAAAATATTTAAAAACAGCGTATCTTTAGAATTTTCGAAAGACAGTCTCGCACGTTGGAGATAAAAAATTTTTTCTCTGCAGTGTTGCTATTGCTCGCTTTGAAATCATTTTGTTAATCAAAAATTCGTTAAAGTCATAACCGCCGTTTTTTCACACTGCGAGAAAAACACCAACATTCATGCACATTCTTCAGTTTCTCTTAAAATAGTACAGGGCGATAATATTTGGTGGTAATAATTTGAAAAGTGATTGAGTCTTTACAGTGATGCAGTGCAAAATCCCGTTTCGAGACAAATAGCCCTTTTGAGCTAACGTTCCCTAGGGCTAAAAATAATTTATCATATAGTTGTAGAGGTTATTAGGTTAGTTGTTATATAGTTGTTATTAAGTTATTTTGAAACAGGAAAAATGAAAAATGAGTAACGCTTTCGCCGGGAATCGAGCCACGGACCTCTGGAATACGAACCCAGTGTGCAGACCACTACACCACGAAGGCACGCTAAGAAGGCGGAAGAAATACCTTATATAGTTTTATGTCAACAAGAGATTAAATAGTTTACATTATTTATTTACTATTTTTTTAAGTGAATAATAGAGACATGGGGGTGAACCTTGTTAAATTTATAAAAGTAATATTTATATTTTTTAACAATTCAATTCGATTTATATATTCCGCTATTTGGTATCCAACGCTTTTATTATTCATCATATAAAATTGTAGGTGAAATTTCCTAAGTGAACTTTTTAATCTCTTGTTTGCTGAAATAGATTTATTTTCCTTTTTAAGTTATTAATTAATTTATGAGTTTTGAATAAAAGCTTATTTTATAAAAACTTTTTTAACCTTAATCTTTTTTTCATATTTGCAGTCTTAATGGCGCATTCTCTTAAAGAATTAAATCATGCGGTTGGAAAATCGTTTTTCAACATTGAAAAAGAGCACTTTGACTTCGAATAATTTTTTCTTTGTCAAGTGGTGAAAACAGACAAACGGACACATTTCTGTAAGTTAAATTTTTTAAGTCCCATTAAATAATATAACATTAAATGTCACCATAAACTAGAAAATCAATTTTTAAAAGAAAATACAATGTACTAAAAAATTCCTGAATGTCTGGCAGAAATGAAAAATAAAAATTCTGTTTAGATCCGAAAGGTTCCACCCCCTTTTGTTTGTTTTTGAAGAGAGTTATTCAAAGAATTTAAATCATTTGAACAGGAAGGAAAATACATACATTTAAATCGAAAGATGCCATACAATTAGAAATGCAAATTTTCCAGACTATTCAAAGATTTAAACTGAAACTATAGAAATGATGAAATATTGAATGATTTAACTGCTCTTTCTGAAAACAATATTTAATGCTATTGGGAAAAAAAAAAAGGAGATCTACTGATTTAAAGCAACTCACGAGAGATGGAAATATGTGGAAGATCCAACAACAAAATGTTTGATCTGGCAGTTATAGAAATTATAAAGCGTAAAACAGAAGAGTTAGAACTTCATTTAATTTAGTAGAACATTCTACAGCAGTGGATTGAAACTAGAGACAGGCAGGCCGAATACGGTCTCCGAAGCAATAATATATGACCCTCGAATACATTTGAATTATATGTTTGTGAACGGTGTTGCAAAGATTTCACGATTTTAATTATTTTGAAGTCCGATTTTACATTATTTTCATTAGCATTAAACATGAACTTGAATAACTGAGCAAAAAATCTATAAGCAGAGATAATTAATTCACAATGGGATATAAATTGTATTGATTTGAAGATAAGGATTTGAATAATTTTTATATGTACTTATCAAAAAATAAATGTGCTTTGTTACGAATCTTTGCAGTGAGAATAATCGCTTTTGTTTAGGAATACATTTATATGTGAACAGGTTTTTTTTTCACTGTTGAAAATTAAGAATTAAAAAACTCGATTGACCGATTAGCATCTACAGTCCGTGATGACTTTTAATGAGTTTAGTCAAAGACTAAAAGCTTTATCAAAACGCCATCAAGCGTCAAGTATATAGCAAGGAAAAAAGAACGTGAAAATATATTGTTACGAAATGTACATCCGCGGTATGATAGCTTCCCCGCAAAGCAGGTTTAGGGTTGCCAGAAAATGACAAAGGAAAGGAGGATTGCCGCATTTGGAGAGAAATCGCCTATTTGGCGATATGCCATGGACGGATGGAGAACCTTCTGGAACGAATTTTTACCGGTTTAGCCCAGAATGTTCTCGAACACAAGTACGCGGAGATTCAATAAGTTAATTAGTCAATCTATGAGGAGTTAAAGAGTCCATCGAGCTGATAGTCAGTCAGCGAATGCCGAGTGGATCGTCGAGTGCACCGAAAGAGTCTCTTAGTGTATCGCGGTTAGTGCATCGTCGAGTAGAGTGTGTTGAGCTCCGGGAACGACTGAATCGAAGAGTCGGGAGCTGTACTCTAGTGTATCGCGAGTTGTAGCGTGGAGAGTCTCGAGAGTACGTGGAGTTCCGAGAACGACCGAGCAGAGTCGGGAGCTGTTTTCCGGTGCTTTGCCGTGAAGCTGTCTCCCCCCGTTATAGCCTGATAGCGTGAAGGCTGATCGTGCCAGCGTGTTTATTGTGGTTCTTCGAAGACTGTGTAAACATGTTATTGGAGCTGTCGTGAATAATACTGGCTAATAAATTGTGTTTTGATACTTCATCGAGTACTGTCGTCGTTATTCACTCCAAATCCGCACGAACCCCGTAACGAACGTACTAAAGGAAGAAAAATAAAGCAACAATATGCATTTTTCTTTATGGGTCGAAGAAAATTTTGTTGTTGTTTCCAACGGCTTTTTTTAAATATTAACCTATTTACTTGAGGCCACTCGCCAAAAACCAAACAGTGTATTCAAAATTATATATATATATAAAAAAAAAAAAAAAAAAAAAAAAAAAAAATTACAAAATTAAAGATTAAGTTTTTACACTATCAAAAATTAAGACTTAAAAAATCTTCATTGATTAGAAATAAAGCAACTGTGTGGTCAAGACATAAGATCCCTGGCAATCTAATACAGCAGGAGAAACGTCCCCACTATGTTATACCTTACGGTCAAAGTTCGCACTGACGAGCAAGTACTGCTTATTCATAGTGTCTGTTTTACAAATAGGGCATTGGATTTTAATTGGCTATCAGGCAGTATGCCTGTTATGCTGAGATGTTCGGCTAAGTAGTCGTGCCCTGTACCCAGTCTGAAATCAGCCACAACTCTCTACGTGGCCTGCGACTGAACCCCATTCCTGATATTTTCCCAGAGTTTACCCTTCGATTTAATTGATAGTTCTATATTGTAAGCTCACATAAGTCTGTTGAGTCTCACATACGTTGTTGAGTCTCAAATAGTTCTTCTAAAGGAATCCAAAGGAATGGAACTGTGATCATTAAATAACTCTGTACCCCTCTTTGCCAAGAGATCTGCTTTTTTCATTACCATCAATATCTACGTGGCATGGTATCCACTGAAATTCTGTACTTTTGCTATTTAGTTCCCTGATATCTTGTTTTATTTTTGACGCAAAAGAAGGCTCAGAGTGGTGTTGAAGAGCTATTGCCTCTATGACCGACTTATAATCAACAAGACTGACGGCCTTTGTAAAATAGTAAATTCTAGATTTCAAATTAGACACAGCCCAAAAGACAACATCAACTTCTGCATAAAAGCTCGAAAGATGATGACCCACTGGGGCATACTGCGAAAACAGTTTACAATATGCACTTGCGCCACCAGCATTATTCACTCTAGAGCCATCTGTAAGTACACGCATCCATTCCGGTTCAGGATAGTTATTGTTCAATAGTAACAAGGCATTTATTTTCAGGTAAATATTGTTGCTTTATTTTCTTCCTTCACGTTCGTACGGGGTTCGTAGATTTGGAGTGAATAACGACGACACTAGATGAAGTATCGAAACACACTTTATTTAGCCAATATTAATCAGGACAGCTCCAAAAGTCACTTTTTACAGTCGTCGAAGATCTACTATACACTCGCTGGAACAATCAGCGACAAAGCCTTCAGGTTATCAGGCTATAACGGTGGAGACAGCTTCACTGCAAAGCACCAGAGTACAGCTCCTGGCTCTACTCGGTCGTTCTCGGAACTCCACGTACTCTCGAGACACTCCACTCTACAACTCGCGATGCACTCGATGACACACAGAGCACAGCTCTCGACTCTACGGTTCAGTCGTTTCCGGAGCTCAACACACTCTCTCGACGATACACTAACCACGATACACTAAGAGACTCTTTCGATGTACTCGACGACCCACTCGGCACTCCCTGCCCGGCTGTCAACTTGATCGACTCCGCACGGACTAACTAACTCGAGACTAATTATCTCGCGCTGACTCTCCGCGTACCAG